GTAATCTTGGGCACTAGAGCATGCCCTGAAGAGCCATGTCTACACGTTTCTTAAATCCCTCCAGGGATGGTGACTCCACCACCTCCCTGGGCAGCCCATTCCAATGCTGGAGAACCCTTTCAGTAAAGAAATGTTTCCTAATATCCAGCCTGAACCTCCCCTGGTGCAACTTGAAGCCATTGCCCCTTGTCCTGTCGCCTGTAACCTGGAAGAAGAGACCGACCCCTGTCTCTCTACACCCTCCTTTCAGGGAGCTGTAGAGGGCAATGAGGTCTCCCCTCAGCCTCCTCTTCTCCAAACTCAACATGCCCAGTTCCCTCAGCCTCTCCTCATAGGACTTGTTCTCCAGACCCCTCCCCAGCTTGGTGGCTCTCCTCTGGACACGCTCCAGCCCCTCAATGTCCTTCCTGTAGTGAGGGGCCCAGAACTGAACACAGCCCTTGAGGTGAGGCCTCACCAGGGCCTAGTCCAGAGGCACCATCACTGCCCTACTCCTGCTGGCCACGCTGGTCCTGATACAGGCCAGGATGCTGGTGGCCTTCTTGGCCACCTGGGCACACTGCTGGCTCCTGTTCAGCCCACAGGCCACCAACACCCCCAGGTCCTTTTCCATGGGGCAGCTCCAGCCACTCTGCCCCCAGCCTGGAGCATCCATGGGGTTGGTGTGACCCAAGTGCAAGACCCTGCACTTGGCCTTGTTGAACCTCATCCCGTTGGTCTCAGCCCATCCATCCAGCCTGCCCAGATCTCTCTGCAGAGCCTCTCTGCCCTCCAGCAGATCAACACTGCCACCCAGCTTGGTGTCATCTGTGAACTTCCTGAGGGTGCACTCCATCCCCTCGGCCAGATCATTGATAAAGATGTTGAAGAGAACCGGCCCCAGTACTGAACCCACCCGAAAAAAAACCCATCCCAGAGTGGAATCCCCCCAAAAAAGCACAAATTGCCCCCAACTCTTCTCCAGGAGATCCCGACCTGTCCGACTCCAGCAGATCCTCGGGGAAGCTCCCGGTGGAGAGACGTTGGGCGCCGGGTTCTTGGCTCTCCTGATGTTGGTTGTTCTCAAAGTGTTGGATGATGTTCCTCACGTTGCCCGGTTTGACTGTTGGGGCAAAGAGTTGGGGGAGGGAAAAAAAAAACCCCAAAAAATCCCAGTAAGACCAACTGGAGGAGATGCTGGAGGTGTCACCCCGCTCTGTGAGGCCATCTGCCACACAGAGCCCCCCAAAAAATCCATCTCCCACCCCCCGAGGTGCCCATCCCAACCCATCCCAACCCATCCCAACGCTCGGGGGTAGATTAGGGAAGAGGGGGGTGGAAAAAGGGAAAGAGGGAGGGGAAAGAGGGAAGGAAGGGGGGGAAAAGGGGAAGG